CTGCCTCGTGGAGGGGAGGACAAGACAACATGGCACAGAAGTCTGTGGAAATTTCACTGAGGCCTGGGTAATCCCAAATTGCACAGCAGGGAATCCAAATGTTGAGTGTGTTCCCTAAGGAAGAGAGGAAAGATCCCTCCACAATGGCAGGCCCTCCTGCTACCTTAGCAATTCATACCTCCTTCCCGATGAAATACCTCAATGAAAATATTGTGCTGATTATAATAATTCATTTCAAATTGTACCAAAACAGATCCATTGGAATAAATAAAATGTCACTAGCTCTCAGGTTACAATGAGACTATTCATTCACAGTCTTTAGCTTGTATCAACTTTCCCTCTTCTGCTACCTAGATAAAAATTATAGCTAGAATTTTTACTGAGTGAAAAGTTGTCAAGATCACAATTAAAAGTTATTCAAAGAGAATATTGTTCTGTTTAATAATAGCTGAAAAACTAGTAATAGTTGATGTTTGTCCAGCCAGTGTGGCTCAGTGGTTGAGCATTAACCCTTGAACCAGGAGGTCAAGGTTCGATTTCCAGTCAGAGCACAGGTTGTGGGATTGATCTTCAATAGAATCAAAAGGTCCATGAATCTGGGAACTCTAACCAGTGACATCCAAGCATTCTTCTCCAGGTTTTAAGTTCTGCAATCACTTCCAGTGTTGTTCTTGATGATGATCAACAAGAACATTGGTTGTTGTTGTTTTTTTTCACCAAAAAAATATTTAGAGCAAATAGAATAAAGACAAAGAGTAGTTTTATTCAATAACTTTATGTCCTGTTCCCATTGATTAACAGATTAGAGTCCATTTCTCAATTTCTTTACACTTAATGCATCACCTGAGAAAAGGTTCAGACCAACTAATGGAGCATAAGTGATAGAGCCCTGTGCAATCCTGGCCTTAAAAATACCCCACGTGATCTACCCTAGTTGCCTTCTGTACAACTGGGTAGAATAGACAGGAATACCCAGAGAAATCTGGCAACACATATTGACTTTGGCAGAGATTCAACATTGACGGTACCCATGATCTTCAATCACTATTTTAATAAAGCCAAACAGAAGAGTCCTCTGATCGGGAGTGCTTGCATTGTGCTCTTAGACAAATGGAAACTGAAGTTCTATAACGATCAATGTGTGGATAGTTTTCTGTTGACCAGCTTCAAGAGTCAGCGTGAACTTTACTGGCAAATGTTTTTAACAGAACATTATCTTGAAAACTTTTCCATTTAAAAAAAAATGGAATTTACGGTATATAAACAAAAAATAGGGCATACCTCCTCTAACACTTGCCTCCCAAAAGATTAAGCAGATAAAAAAAAATTATGTCATAAAATTGTTTATTTAAGAAATCAGATCATGTACCTCTCTCTAAACATCATTTTGTAAATTCATGATGTACTAACTATTTTTATAATAACCCCTTGGTTTGGGTGTCAGGAATTTCTCAGCTTGTGCAGAAATGTGAGTGGAGATTGGGGATTAACAAAGGAGAGTAATCAAGATAAATTTCTTGTGCATTTGTTGACTTTCCCTTGAGGATTGCCACAGGACTAAATGGCCCACTGTCACCAACACTCTGAGGACCTCCCAGGCACAGGCACTGTAGTTCTTCCCTCGCAGGTAGCTATGGATTCTTTGGAAGTACTTTCACAGGAGAACTCCCACACTGGGACAAGCCCGATTTTCTCCTTCCCTCTGCTCCAGGTGCTCCAGGTGCTCCAGGCCATGGTGAAAGCTGGAGAGGAGCTGGGAAAGGAGAGTGTGGTCCCATGCAGCAAGGCTTGTTCACTTTCACTTCCTGTTTTTGTTTTCATTTAATTTAGGTGTTCTAAGATGATGTCATCAATCTACACTACTGAATATCACCATGCACTTCAGATGTGCCATACAAGTAGTAGTCAAATGAGAAATGCCTTTGTCCTAAAATCAAAGTGTAGGGAGGTGTATAAATACTCACACAGGTACATGCTCACGTATATAAATATACTGCATCAATATTGCTTTTCTTTGTATTAGAAATAAAAGTTTGCCTTGACTCTGGATATCATGGGCGTCACCTCTTCTCTGTGGGTTTGTGTAGTTTGTCAGGTACTCACCAGACCATGGTTGGTAAATAAACTCTTTAGAACCAAGGACTGGGTTTTGGTTACTGTTTTATGCACAACTGGTATGAGGTTTTTAATGACTGCGTTTCGGGGATTTTTCTCTTCTAGAACCCATTCCTGCAGGGCCATGTGGTTATGCTTCACAGGGACCAATATGTCAGGACTTTAGTAGACATTGTCATTTCCTTCCAGCATTTGTAATTGGTTGTTAGTGATTCTCAGGCTGTGCCAATATGCCCAGCAGGAATCGGGGTTCTTTGCTAGTGGCTGTAGGTGTGGAGATTCTTATAACAAGATAGTAATATTTTCCCAGCACCACCCCATTCCAGAGGCCAAGATCAGCTCTAGTAACCCTTTGCCTCTGGAGTGACAGTGTCCTCACCTATAACTCTCCTGGACTCCCCGCCGAGGACAGGCTCACCCATTCTGAGGTCCTTGGAATTCTCCCCTGGTGGAGGGGCTTGGGTCTCTGTTGACAAAAGAACCTGTCAGGATCCTCCTGCATCCCAGGGGAGTGTTTGTGCAAAGAGCCCTTGTCATCAGTGGTACCTCCATCTGAGGCAGGACCCAGGTGTCAATGGTCCCCACAGCCCTAAGCGCTGACAGCAAATGTTTGTCTAAGTAGGTGGAGGCATTACTTATGCAATTGTAATCATTTATTTTCAGCGGTTGTGTCTATCCCCTCATCTATTGATGGACACTTGGGCTGTTTCCAGATCTGAGCTATTGTAAATTGTGCTGCAATGATCACAGGGGTGCATCAACTCTTCCTGATTGGCATTTTGGGTTTCTAAGAATATATTTCTAGAAGTGAGAACACTGGGTCAAATGGCATTTCCATTTTTAATTTTTTTGAGGAAACTCCATACTATTTGCCTTAATGGTTGTACTGAGTCTGCATTCCCTCCAGCAGTGTACTAAGGTTCCATTTTCTCCACTACCTCACCAGCACTTGCCATTCTTTGATGATAGCAATTCTGACACCTGTGAGGTGATACCTCATTGTTGTTTTAATTTGCATCTCCCTGAAGATCAGTGACTTTGAACATCTTTTCATACATCTCTTGGCCATCTGTTTGGAGAAGTGCCTATTTATGTCCTTTGCCTGTTTCTTAATTGGATTTTTTGTCTTTTTTGTTTTTGTTTTTGTTAAGTTGTATGAGTTCTGATATATGTTGAATCAAATGTATCATTGCCAAATATGCATCTCCCACACATTGGGATCCCTTTTTGTTTTGTTTTTTAATGATTACTTTTGCTGTCCAGAACCTTTTTATTTTGATGTAGTCACATTTGTTTATTTTTGCCTTAGTTTCCTTTGCCCTAGGAGACTTATCCATAAACATATTGGTATGAGAGGTGTCTGAGATTTTGCTGCCCATGCTTTCCTTTGGCATTTTATGGTTTCATGACTGACATGTACTTCTTTTATCCTATTTGAGATTATTTCTGTGTATGGTGTAAGTTGGTGGTCTAGTTCCATTTCTCTACATGTATCTGTCCAATTTTCCCAACACGATTTATTAAAGAGACTGTCTTGACTCCATTGTATACTCTTGCCTCCTTTATCAAATATTAATTGAGTGTAATGGCTTGGGTCCATTTCTTGGGTCTCTATTCTGTACCATTGATCTATATGCCTGTTCTTGGGCCAGGACCAGGTTGTTTTGATTACAATGGCTTTGCAGTATAACGATATCTGGTATTGTGTTCCCTCCAACTTTCTTCTTCTATCTCAAGACTGCTTGCAGCTATGTAGATTTGTTTTGGATCCATGAAAATTTTAGGGGTATTTGTTCTAGGTTTGTGAAATATGTCACTGGTGTTTAATAGACATTGCATTGAATCTATACATTGCTCAGGTCCCAGTTCGTTGTCTCACAAAATCAAAGAAATTAATTCATGGACAAAGACACAAGCAAAAGCAAAGTTATATTACAGAAAAGGTCCTGCTGCAGGGAGGGCACCCAACTGGTCGGCCTGCCTACAAAGAATTTGACAAACGTAGAGCTCCACTCAACTTTATTCTCTCGGTTGGCTTTTACTGCGAGGAGAAACCTTGAAGCTGAAACCACAGCAGAAGCAGAGCACAGCAGAAGTCTGGAGAGCAGAGAGATTATATAGGAGAAGGAAATAATTCAATAAAGTTGGACCCAGAGAGAGTGGGGGGGAGAGTATAGGTGCCAGAAACAGCCAACAAATACCATAAAGCATTTCCACTCCACTCTAGATGACTCTGATCAGATACTTCTACGCACTGCTCCTTGCTCATGGAATACAAATCAATTACAACTCAGACATGCGTACTGAATATCTCCCACACTTTCTAGGCCTCTATCAATGATATGCTTTTTCATATTTTGACAGACATTTTCTGAGAAGTGATGGACCTGTTCTATAGGACTTAATAGACAAGTATTATGTTGAAGTAGACCTATGTAAAAAATATAAGGATTTAGGTGTTCAGAAAAAAAGAACTCAGAAAGTTATTTTGATAAAAATTTAATAAATAAAGCAGAATACAAATTTAATGGCAAAAAAAGTAAAGATGTTTTATAAATTTTAATACAACATTAGGGCAAATATTGGTTATATAAATATATCAATATGATAACATAAACAATAAATACTATCTACACAAGAAATAATAAATGAATAAATAAATAAATAAATAAATAAATAAATAGCATCACCACAGTAACCTATTAGGGACTCATATCCCAGGAACTAAATTTCATAACATTTTCATGATTAATACCCTGACAACAGATTTGCTGAAAAAAAAAAAGTGTAATAATTTCTGTGACAAAGGCTGACCCAAGAGCCTTTGACATGACCTAAGACATATGTGCAAACATGATGTGGCACATGCATCAGTGAGAATCCTTTCAAGGTGACCCCACGTCTCCATCCTCATTTCTCAGCCTTTCCTGCAAGGCTCTTGTTGAGGAGAAGGACCTCATGATTTCCACTCTGACAGCTTCCCAGGCGCAGTCACTGTATTGCTTCTCCTTCAGGTAGAGACGGATGCCCTGAAAGTACCTCTTCAAGGCCAGGGCCGGGCCCTGCGTGGCCAGGGCGGGGCCCTGCGTGGCCAGGGCAGGTCCCTCCTCTCCCATCTCCCGCGCCCAACAGGTGTCCAGGGCTTCCAGCTGCCGATGGAGTCCTGTGCGCAGCTGGTCCACGAGGGTCGTGTTCCAGGGGACAGAGGAGTTCTCTGTGGACAGGAGGTCGGAGATCTGCTGGAGCATCTGGTGGAGCACAGAGAGGGCCTGGGCCTTCTGGGCCTGGCTGCCATCCACCGCTGCCCGGGGGAATCGGAAGTGCTGTCTGTCCTTCAGGCAGAAGAGAGGGGAGATGGTGCTCATTTGTCTCAGAAGCACTAAGGTCTCCCTGCTGAGCAGGACGTGGTCCTCAAGCAGGTCACAGCCCAGAGTTCCACCAAGGCCTGAGCTGAGCAGCACCAGGGCTGTGAGCAGAGAGAGCAGGAGGGCCATGGGCAGAGGAGAGTGCTGCTGGCCTGGCTGAGCTGGGCGTCTGGTGAGCAACCTTGGGCCAGAAGTTCTCCAATGACCTTCTTTCAAGGCAGGGCCCTTAAATAGGGAACACCACAATTTTCATTTTCTAAGCATTTCTTTCCCCTTTCATTTCCTTTTTTTGTTTTCATTTAATTTAGGTGTTCTAAGACGATGTCATCAATCTACACTACTGAATTTCACCATACACTTCAGATGTGCCATAAAAGTGGATACTTAGTAGTCAAATGAGAAATGTCTTTGACCTAAAGTCAAAGTGTAGGGAGGTGTGTAAATACTCACACAGGTACATGCTCACGTATATAAATATACTGCATCAACATTGCTCTCCTTTGTATTAGAAATAAAAGTTTGCCTTTACTCTGGACATCATGGGCATCACCTCTTCTCTGTGGGTTTCTGTATTTTGTCAGGTACTCACCAGACCATGGTTGGTAAATAAACTCTTTAGAACCAAGGACTGAGTTTTGTTTACTGTTTTATGGACAACAGGTATGAGGTTTACAGTGATTGCATTTCGGGGATGTCTCTCTTCTAGAACCCATTCCTGCAAGGCCATGTGGCTATGCTTCATGAGCGATACTGAGTCAGGACTTCTGTAGACATTGTCATTTTCTTCCGGCGTTTGTAACTGGTTGTTAGTGCTCCTCAGACTGTGCCAATACCCCAGCAGAAATCGTGTTCTTTGCTGGTGGATATAGGTGTAGAGATACTCATCACAAGATAATAATATTTTCCCAGCATCACCCCAGTCAGAAGGTTGATATCAGCTCTAGTAACACTTTGCCTCTTGAGTAACAGTGTCCTCAACTATAACTCTCCTGGACTCCCCCTGAGGGCAGGCTCAGCCCATCCTGAGATCATTGGAATTCTCCCCTGGAGGATGGGCTTGGGTCTCTGTTGACAAAATAACCTGTCAGGATCCTCCTGCTTCCCAGGGGAGTGTTTGTGTGAAAGATGCTTATCCTCAGTGGTGACCTCCTCCTGAGCCAGGACCCAGGAGCCAGTGGTGTCCACAGCCCTAAATGCTGACAGCAAAGGTTTGTATTGTCTAAGTAGGTGGAGGCATTACTTATGCAATTGCAATCATTTATCTTCAGTGGGCTTTTCAATTCCCTCATTTATTCATGGGCCCTTGGGCTGTTTCAATATCTGAGCTTTGTAAATTGTGCTGCTATGATCACAGGGGAGCATAAAATCTTCTTAATTATCATTTTGGGTTTCTAATGATATATTCCTAGAAGTGGGATCACTGGGTCAAATGGAATTTACATTTTTAATTTTTTTTGTATGTGTGTTTAAACTCCACACTATTTTTCATAATGGTTGTATGAGTCTGCATTCCCACCTGCAGTGTACTAGAGTTCTATTTTCTCTTCATCCTCACCAGCACTTGTAATTTGTTGATGATAATTATTCTGACAGGTGTGATGTGATATGTCATTGTTGTTTTAATTTGCATCTCTCTGATGATCAGTGACTTTGAGCATCTTTTCATCTGTCTCTTGGCCTTCTGTATGTCCTGTTTGGAGAAGTGTCTATTTAGGTCCTTTGCCCATTTTTTATGGGATTGTTTGTCTTTCTTTGGTTAAGTTGTATGAGTTCCCTATAGATTTTGGATAGAACCATTTATTAGATGTATCATGGGCAAATATGTTCTCCCACACACTAGGCTCCCTATTCATTTTGTTGATGGTTTCTTTTGCTGGGCAGAGCTCTTTAATTTGATGTAGTCACATTTGTTTATTTTCTTAATGTCCTTTTCCCTTGAAGTTGTATCCACAAACATATTGCTCTGAGTGTTGTCAGAGGTTCTGCTGCCTATGGTCCTTCTAGGATTGTTATGGTTTTCATGTTTCACATTTAAACCTTTTATCCATTTTGAGTTTATTTTTCTGTGTAGTGTGAATTGGTGGTCCAGTTTCTTTTTACGTTGTGCTAGTGTAGTTTTTATTGTTCAAGTCTCTACTTAAATTATGGAACACTTGATGCTCAAAACATCTGAGATGGGCACAGGAGATTCAATGATGACGTCTCTTAGTGGAAATTTGTAGGACAGAAACTGGTGAACTTCAGCTGTTCATTCAGTCTGTGCATTTCTATTGGGCTTCTCTGTTCCTCTCTCTGTCTCACGCTCAGTATGCAGGGCAGTGAGGCTCAGGCCACTTAGTCAGGTAGAGATAGCCTTCTTCATAGTGCTTCCTTTTACATGTAAATAACCACAGAATCATTACAGTGGTTTCCAACCATAGTCTGTCTTGCTCTTCTGTCATTATATATATATAAATAAATTTAATTTTTAAAATATATTTGTATTGATTTTAGAGATGATGGGTGAGAAAGAGAGAAACAAAATAAGAATAATGAGAGAGAATCATTGATGGGCTTCCACCTTCATGCCTCCTACTGGGCATGGAGCCCTGGCATGTGCCCTGACCATGACTTGCTGGTTCATAGGTTGATGCTCAACCACTGAGCCTGCCCAGCTGGCATCACACCTTACTTTCTACTTCACTGTGTGGTTTATACAAATGATGAGAAGTAAAGAAAGACAAAGGGACTTCAGCATTTTTCTCTATAATTATCATGATATCAGACTTTTTATTTCTCATTTACTTTCCCAGAAAGCAAAATTGACAGTTGTTTGTGGGCAAAAGTGAGACAAATAGAATTCTGCGTGTCATAGAAGAGAAAGAAGGGAAGTGAGTTCTGATGACAAGAGGACAAGGTGTAAGTTGGCAGAATTGACTGCAGCCACAAGGGGTCCCTGGTGCTGAGGCAGAGGGAGGATGGAGCCAGCCCTGAGCTACACCAATGCAGGGATGGGATGCCTCTGCCAGAGGCAGGGCCTCCTAGGCCAGTGACCAGCCATGTCATTTAATGCTCATGGGATCAGCTCTGAGGATGGAAGGGGAGACTCTCAGCAACCAACTCTCAGTAGACTGGCAACCACGTCCCCCACTGCTGGAGCAGGATCCTTTCTGATGCCTAGAGGATATTAACCCTGGTCTGAGTCCTCGATCTAGTTAATAAATCCACTCAGTTACTGAGAAGATTGCCTTGAGTAATATGGATTTAAGTGAAATGGAGTTGGATGATCCTAAAAGAGTGTGTTCTTAATTAGAATAATAATTATATTGATATTTAAAATGATAACAAAATTTTATTGCATGCTAACTATGGACCAACCACTGTTCTAAGATATTTGAAATGGTAAATTCAACCTTCCCAATATCCCTTTTGCATTAAACTTGTTTATACCACTATTTTGCAGTACAAATCCGGAGTGATGTATTATGTGGAAAGTAATCCAAAGTCAAACCCTTAAGAAGCTTGAGACACTGGATGGTCTAGAAGGGCCTATTAAAAGGAGATGGGGCTACAATTGGACATGGGATTTATGAACCAAGGGGAGGCCACGGCATGTTAGCACTGAGCAGGGAGGGTGAGGTGACAAGGATTCCAGGTTCCATGTCAAATGCCAGTGGATTTGTGTCTATTGTTCTGTGTGACATCACCAGTGTGGTCTGAGTCTACAGAACTGACTGACTTTAAGTTCTAAGGAAAAGTAGACAACATTCCTTTTACATAGTTTTAAAGAGTAGAATTTGCTGACAATTGAAACAAGTTTGTTGCTGGCTGTGGTCCCTCCAATTCCCAGCAGTCTGCTGTGGGGTCAGAGTCCCCTGTGCTGGGACACAGCTGGTGGCCACATCTCTGGGAGAACTCTGCTCTCAGCATCCACTTCCATTTTCTCCCCCTGGGAACCAGAATGATCTGCAGAAACAGGTGACTCAGGGCAGACTCTTCCAATTGTTCTTCTCCCGAGGGCCTGCCTGCTCCAGTCCAGGCTTTACCTGCCTCTGTTCTGCCCAGTTCTCACATTGCTGCTGACTTTCATCTCATCTGCTCCTAGGTGTGCTCTGTCTATTTTTGAGCAGATGAGAATCCTGCACTGATGCATCCTCCTCCTGTGGAATAAGAGGGAGGACCGCCTAAACAGAGGCACGATGAGCTCCTGGATTCTGTCACAAGTGGTGTGTAGACCTGGCTCCATGCCTTGACTGCGTTTCCCTGTGAGAGATTAAACATCAGGGTCTTGACAGCTGTAGCTAGGAGTCAGCTGGCAGAGTGGGTGGAGCCTTTGCCACCTTTACTCTCTGGCCCTTCACCCTCGAAATCCTTTGTTGCTTCCAGCTGGTGCTGCACCCTGATCCCTCACAGCACATCCCTCGGTGTTAATTCTGTATCCTGATACTTTGCCAAATTCATTTATGAAACCTAGCACTGACTTGTGGAGTCTATGGGATTTCCTATGTGCAATATCATGTCATCTTCAGATAATGACAGTTTCACTTCCCCTTTTCAAAAGAAACCTCCAAAACTCTAGGATATGAAACAGGCTGTGGCTAAAGAGATTTTCAAGACAAGGTGACCAGAGGAACCAAATCATTAAACATTTGCATCGAAATAGTATCATGAAAGTGACAAAAAAATATAGCTTTAATGAAAATAAAATCAACCAAAGAGTCCAACAGGTCATCATATTTGAATGTTGTTTGGGAATCACAGTCAGAGCAAGGTGAGTAAAAATAGTATCCTTTGTAGTCCTGTGCCTACATGTGTCCACACCTGCATCATGCGGTGGAGGAAGAAAGAAATGCAAAGGTTTGGCATGTCAATTAGAACCCTTTAAGCCATCAATCGGAGGGAAACAATCTGAAGACTGTGCCCATAACCTGAAGGAGAGATTTGAGAGATCATGCCTCTGAGCAATTCACACACATTTCCTGACTAACCTCCTCTGCCTCAATACCTCACGATTCTACATGCACGATATTGTCAGGTAGATTTTAGTAACTCATATTTTCTTCTTGCGGATGTGTACATGTCATGATTGATGTGAGGAAACGAGTGATGGGCCAACAGTCAAGACAATTCTATGGGAAGTGCTGATGCAA